TACACCTTGAAATCTTCGAAGGCAGCCTGACACTCCGGGGTCCATTCAAAGGGATTGGCCTTCTTCATGATCTGGAAAAAAGGAATCGCCTTATCAGCCAGTTTGGACAAGAATCTGCTCAGGGCCGCCAGACGCCCGGTGAGTCGCTGCACATCCTTTAGGTTCTTCGGGGCCTCCATGTCCATAATTGCCTTCACTTTTTCCGGATTAGGCTCGATCCCCCGCTCGCTCATCATGTAGCCGAGGAACTTGCCGCCCCGGACGGCGAAGGCACATTTCTTCGGATTGAGCCTCATGCTGGCCTTCTCCATGATGCCGAAGACCCTCTCCATGTCCCGGACATGATCCTCCTTTCTCTTGCTCTTGATCAGGATGTCATCCACGTAAGCTTCCATTGTCTTCCCAAGTACGTCTTTGAACAACATCCCAATCATCCTCTGAAAAGTAGCCATGGCGTTCCTCAGGCCGAACGGCATAACGATGTAGCAATATACGCCATCCGCCGTAACGAACGCCGTTTTTTCGGCATCATCGGGGTGCATGAACACCTGATGGTAGCCCCTGAATGCGTCCATGAAGCTGAGCAGCTCGCAGCCTGCCGTCTCATCCACCAGCAAGTCGATCCTCGGAACAGGGTAAGGATCCATCGGAAGAGCTTTGTTCAGGTCCGAGTAATCGACGCACATCCGCCAAGTGTCGCCCTTCGGGGCTAGTACCACGTTGGCCAGCCACTCCACGTGGATGACCGGCCGGATATGTTTAATGCTGAGGAGAGTTGCCGTCTCCTTCCTGATGAAATCGCGTCGGTCGGCCGCCATGTACCTTTTCTTTTGTTGTACAGGCTTGGCGTCCGGCCGCACGGCGAGTCTGTGGCATATGAGGTTGGGGTCGATGCCCGGCATGTCCTCCGGCCCTCTGGCGAACAAGATTCGGAACCTCCGTAGGACAGCTATGACCCCCGTCCTGATTTCTGGCTCTAGATCTGCACCGATGGACACCTTCCTGTCCGTCGGGTCGTCGAGCTCGATTTCCTCCAGCAGAGTTGCTGGTTCCAGATGAGCGTCCAAGTCGGCCTGTTTGGCCTTCTCGGAAATGCTGTTGACCCGAGCCTCCCGCTCGCTGAGCTTCTCCATCGCCTTCGTGTAGCAGGCCCTGGCCATATGCGGGTCCGTACGTGCCACTCCCACTCCAGTGTCGGTGGGGAATTTGATGCATGAGTGTCGTACGGAGCATATGGCCTCCAAGTCTTCCAAGCCGGGTCGGCCCAAAATGGCATTGTGGGCGCATTTTAGGCGGACCACGACGAACGTCATGCTGATTCGGGCCGTATGAGGACCATCGCCGATTTCTACTGGCAAGACGATGGTGCCCTCGGCATCAATGCAATCCCCGGTGAAGCCGGACAGCGGGGTGCGTAGGGGGTGCAGCATGTCCTTCCTGAGCTTCATCCCTTCGAAAGCCTCCCAGTAGAGGACGTTCACACTGCTCCCGGTGTCAACAAGGACGCGGCGGACGATGGCATCGTTCACGTCCATGCTGATCACCAGCTCGTCCCTGTGCGGTGCTGGTGACATTGGCAGATCAGCGGGGCCGAAGGTAATTGCCTCGATTTTGTTGCGCTTGGTGGGGGGTGCTGATACGGAACCCACATAGAGTGATCTCTCAAATTTTTTCCGTTCGGCGGGTGTATCCCCTGTCTCAGCGCCCCCGAAGATCACCTTGATCTCCAACTTCTTCTTCTTGCCCTTTGGGCCGAGGGATCCCTCCGGACGTTTATCTGCACTCCGATAATCCACGTCCTGAGGTTCTGCCTCGCGCCGGTCGTCGCGGCGCCATGTCTTGTGCCTTGGGGTCGGCTTCTGCTGGCTGTTTTTGTTCAGCAGCTGGGTGAATTCGCCCAAGTACCCCTGACGGATCAGCTCGTCGATTGCCTTCTTCAATTGGCTGCAATTGTCCGTCAGGTGGCCGATCCTCTGATGGTACTCACAGTAAGCCGATTGGTCAAACCCCATATACTTCTTCATATCCTGAGGTTCCGCCAGGAGGCCCTTGTCCTTGATGGCCTCGAAGACCTGGCTTACTGGATAGGCCAATGGAATGTAGCGATCGTCCGGCCGCGTCTGGCTGTCTCCGGAGGGGGCCTTCCACGGGATCATCGCTCCGTCCATCCTCTTCTTTTTGTTTGGGGGTGAGGGCCCGGGTCCCGGTTTAGGTCCGAGCCTGTCCGCCATCTTCCTAGGCTGGGCCGCGGGAACTCCGTCCCGCTGCCTGATCTCCTCCTCAATGGAGGCATATTTTTGTGCCCGAGCCAAAACCTCGGTGTAGCTGGTGCCGGGATTCCTCCTCAGGTCCCGATATAGGTCCCCTGTGGCCAGTGCGCTGGTGAACATGTTGGTGGCCAGACGTTCGTCCAGATCGTCGACCTGCAGGACCTCGTCCCTCCACCTTACCAGGAACCTAGCCAGTGGTTCGTCTCGCCCTTGTTTGATGTGGGCGAGAGCCGTGACGTCCTTCCTGGGGGTGGTGCTGGCAGCAAACTGTGCCATGAACTGCCGAGAGAGCTGTTCGTATGAATCAATGGTGCCCGGCCTCAACTGGCCGAACCATTCTTGCGCCGGCCCTCTGAGGGTGCTAAAGAACAATCTGCAGATGGCCTCGTCCGATGCTCCCAGCATGGACAGGTTCCCTTGGTAGCTTATCAGATGGGCCTTAGGATCACCAGCCCCATTATACACCAAGTTCCCCGGGGGGTCTGCAATCCCGGGGAATCTCGACGCTCATCACCCGTGGAGTAAAAGGTGATGTGAGAGAGAAGGAGGGTGTGGCCGAGCCGACGTCCGCCCGCCTATTCATCTCGGCTATCTGCCTCTCCATGGCTTCCAGCCGTGCGTCCTGTGCGGCCCTTCCGGGGGACACAGGGGGGCGCGGCTTCGGGGGTGGCGTTCTGCTGAGCGGCCACAACATCGTGCGGCCGCCTGAAGATCTGCGCACCTCGCCGTTGGAAACGTCGTCCAACGGTGTTGACCCTTGGGGTCTCGTCTCCCCGCGGAATCTGGCGAGGAACTGATGGTGTGAGAGCCCTGGATGCAGCGATGCTAATCCTGGTCCGCCCTCCCGTCTCACGGGAGCCTGAACCCCCACCTAGCCGCTCGTGGACGGAGGGCCGGTGGTCGCTGGATCCCGTCGTATCATCATACGACTGCATGCGGCGTATGGGAGAGAGGGGCGTTCGCTGGGTGCTTGCAGAGTACACCTGATCTCGGGCCTCCCGCTCGTCCGCCATGCGACGCATGGTGTCTGCGAGTTCACGCATGAGTCGGGGATCCTGCCTGGCCTCCAGGGGGATGAGGTCAGTGATACCCCCGTTTCCCCCTGAAGTCCATATTGTTGCGGATAGTTCCGAGTTCTGGCCGCGATTCCGGCGGCTCGATTCCAAACGCTCGGAGAGATCACGCTGGTTGTTGCTTCCTGACATCGTGTTTGCTGTCGGTAGACTTAGTAGCTGTTTGGGAGAGTTTCTGGAAACTTTTTGCTTCGTTTCCCACAGACGGCGCCAGTGTTGAGGTTTATTCCTTCAACCCTTGGAACCAACACGTAAGCCCAAAGATTTCGAGTGGAGTGAGTGTATGGTTATCTAGCCCAACAACTATTAGATGAATCAGGAAACAAGAGTAATAGCAGGCAATGTAAATAGGTATTATTAACTTCGTAATAACTCCCCTAAGTACAATCTACTTGCTAAAAAAGGCACGTCGGCCGTTCGTCTTACAAGGCAGTTAGAGACGCTGCGAGTAAGAATGCTGAAGCTAGTATGCAAAGAATAGAAAGTTGCCAACCCTTTACAATGAAATAAATGCTCCTATTTATACCCGCCAATGGGCAGGTGGCTGTACTGACGTGGCAGCCTGTGGACCGCTGGTGTCCCAACTACCAAATCTTTAGCATTAAATGCACTTCCCGCCAGAATCTAGGTTTCCCGCCGGATCAGTGGGGACGTTCGTCCACCCCGGAAGTGAGTTGGATTGCTCCAAGTGACCCTTGAGACATATCGGCTGTTCGTCTCCTGGCCTTAATAGATACTCACCATGTGCACTGGGTTCTCTCCGATGACTACAGGCTTGCTCTGGGGACGTTCGTCGCCATCCCCGGCGGCCCGTGGTTCTGCTCCTTGTCCCTGCATAGACGTTCGTCGGCATGAGCTGCTGGGCCTGAGTCCTCCAACACCAGACGTTCGTCCATCCTCAAGGAACATGGGCCTGTGGGCTGGCCTGGTGTTCTAATTGGACGTTCGTCTGGCAAAATGGGTTAGTGGGCCGGACCTCGGCTTGGGCCCTTAACCCAACATCTTGTTATATCATTATCACAAATCAAAGCTTACTAATTCTCTCTCAACCCTAATATCTACGGAGTATGTATTTAGTTTTTATGGAGTTTTTTTTGTTATTTCCAATGGGGTATTTTAGTCATTTCAATTTAAATGTGTTTATTGAAATATGTGAATAATCTTCATTAATCTATAATTCAATATTTGATATCAATTTTTTTTTATCTAAATAATCTTTCAAAATAATCTCATTTCTCAACCATAATATATAAAAAGATATTCCACACCATGATCTCTAAATACTAGTTAGGTGTGGGCATATCAGTTTGATTTAAACAAATCAAGTCGTACCAAACCAAACTAAACCAAATCAAAATCAAACCATATGCAATTTGGTTTGAGTTTGATAGTATTTCTTCCAAATCGTATTAAATCAACCGAAGCAAAATCAATAAAAACTAAACAAAACCAAAACAAACTAAAGAAATTCAATAAAACATTCACATATTATTAGAAAATAAAAAATACAAATAGAACTGAACTGAAAATAGTACTACGGTTTGGAAGAAAATTTAACCTTTCAAAATGAAACCCTATACTTTAGTAAACACACCTTAAAAAGATTTTTATGTTTATTTAAGGAAGAGATACATCAGTGCATTTTCAAAACCATAATAAATGCTTAAATGAGAAACCAATTAAAACAAACCAAACAGAGATTTTTTATTTTTGTTTGGTAATAATTGTTCATCCTCTTCCAAACCAATCGAAACTTATAAAACCAAACAGAGAACCGGCATGCATCCGTACTCCGTAGATCAGTTGGGAAAAAGTTTTGGGGCTGTTATTTGCTTTTGTAGATTACCCATGAGGGCCGTTGCCTGGTTAACCTGCTCCGCCGCTCGCCACCATCGTTAGCCGTTGCAGATTCCGGATCCGCACTTGTATCTCTTTCTAAAAGCTAACGCCGTTGGTATCTTCGTCGCATACAGAGCCGGGCGTATTACCGGCGGCCTTATCCGAGGGTTTTGACCTCGTGCCGCAAAATCAATTGGTCTCAGGTTTGGCGCCTCATTATATTCACAGTTTCCAGGTATTGTTCACTTCTATTTGTTTTCTTTAAAACACTGGTTATTGGCACAAGTTCCAATAGTTCCATATTAGTTTCGGGTGTGAACGTTAATTGATGTTTATGTTTCATAATTTCAAATGAATAATGTCTGCTCTGTTGGTATACGGTTTAGGAAAATTTGGAAAATTTAATAGTAGTGCTTATGAGCAAGATATGGAAGATTAAATGTGGTGCATTTTTTCTTGGGCTATGGAAAATGTGGCTCGTCTATTTATGAACCTAAGTAAGATTCATAAAGGCATTGCATATTGTTTGACCACGGGAAATTCAAGAATTTTAAGTTTTGATATTGTCTATGGACTTTGCAACACTGTATTGATATTTTACTTAAAATGTGCATTTGATAAAAAGTACCTGGTAACACTCTAAGAGTGAGCTGTTATCCTGTATTCCATTAGCATTTCATTTAAGATGATATTTCGTATTGGCCCTTGAATTCTATTGGGCTTTAATATTGGTTTATTGGATGAGATCAAACGAAAATATAAGAAATAGTTTCATACAAATTTTAAAATATTTGGAGAACTAGATGCACCTTCAAAGCATATCACCATCTTTCTCATTTGTCCCATTGTATCCATTTCACAACTAATCTGTGGCGCAGGGGCGTAGCTAGGGAGGGGCCAACTCTGGCCCCAGCCGGCTCCGCCCCTTCTGTGGTGGACTCGTAAGTTTTGTTCATTTAGGAGGGGCGCCATTCAAATAAAATCATAAAACGATTACGTATATCAACTTAAAATGAACAATAGTTTAAACGTTCATATATATTGATTAATGCAGCTTGTCTAAGGCCATGAACGTATTATGTTAGACTGAGAAACATCGCCTGTTTTTTTGTAAATATTAGTGGCTGAGGTAAACTGCAAATGGATGGCCTGTTGACTGGTGAACCCTCCCATCATGGAATATTGAAAGGGAAGTTTGAGGGTTCTCATGAAAAGCTTGAAAAATGTGGTCGTTGTTGGTATCTCTCAAGGAAGGAAATTGATGAAAATTCCCCTTCTAGACATGATGGCATTGATCTGAAAAAAGAAAATTATCTACGGATATCATACAGCACATTCTTGCAAGAATTGGGTGTGGCCCTTAAAGTGTAAGCTTTTCTTTCTTTACATAATCCCCTCCCCCACCATCCAAATGTTAATGCGATTTTCACATTTTAGCATTTTCTTAGTTTTTTGGAGTAAATGATTTTTTAAAGTGTAAGGTTCCCTTTATATAAATTATCCCCCCTCCCTCACTCCAATTTTAATGCACTTTTCTCATTTTAGCATTTTCTCAGTTGGAGTAATTGATTTTTTGTATTATACATTCTTTTCTACATTATCTCTAAGGAGAATAAGGATACATGGTCACATTCCTTTTGATAATATTAACGGAGTATTAAACAATATAACTAACATACAAGAGTCGTCATTCATGCCAGTTTCATTTAGTTCCATAATTCCATCAGATATGATTGGACAAAATAGTAATATGCGATATGTTAAGGTTACACAATTATCTAGATTCATGACATCATCATTTGATTTACCCTTTGTAACTAATAGCTATAAATATAGCTCATTTGTACCAAGTTGAGGATATGCAACAACCATTTTTGCTTCTCAAGTTCAACAGAACATATTAATTTAGTACAAAGCATTAGATAAGGTCTAACACTCTAACTAATCTACGTAAATGTAATTGAGATGAACTCATGGACATCTGAAAGTGTTTAGTTTGCTGTGAAGTGTGAACTCTTTGAATTTTAGAATATAGATTAACACATTCGGCTCCATATAAGATGCCAAAAAGTAGGACTATGATATGTCTGCTTGTGTCATCTGTCCAGCTATAGTTATCTTTTATCTGAACCCTATTAGTTTTGCAACCATATATTGTTGACTGTTGACATATTTTGGAATTTTTTTATTGTACAATGTTATTCCTTCACTGTGACATGAAGGATTTGTGGTGCAAAAAATTGCCACTGTGCTTGTTTTGCATGAATTTATAGTGTTAATTATTTGTATACAATTAACTAGCTCTATAAACTTAATGTCACTGACTCCAATTAGCTGGGATTAAGGTGCTGATAATGATGATGACAACATTGCATCTCTTATGATGCAGGCCTCAGTTTACAATCGCTACGGCAAGTGTCTTTTGTCATCGTTTCTTCCTTCGTCAGTCCCATGCAAAAAATGATTGGAGGGTCGGTGAATTTTTATTTTCTTTTTTGGGTTTATGTTAAGTGGATGCTATTAACCATTAATTTGTGGACTGCTTATGGGAATGGTTTACATAATCTTCGGATATGATATTTTTTGCAAAGGTTTACTTTTTGTGTTGTTAGATATGTGATGTGTTTGATAATTGTGTATCATATGTTGTACTACTTGTAAATTTGGGGCTGGCTGACCGGCATGGTGCATATAAATGCATAATGATACTTTATTCACATGGAATCTCTATATCAAAGCCTTTTTAGCATCTTGGAGCTGCAGGAATTTATTTGCAACACAATAGTTAATGTAATGACATATGGCATTTTTCAAGTAATGCAGAAGTTTGGACTCTTGGAGTTACCTTATTTAATAGCATTATTTACTTGAACAAATCTAGAGGATTGCTTATTTACTTCTTCAAATTGGGTTTATGCATTTTATTCCAATCATTGTTCAAGTGAGCGAATTGAGAAATCAGGACAAGTTTTTGTATATACTTGGAACCAATATCATTTATCATGGACTTCTCTTATTTGGCATGTTTTAGTGGGTGACATTGTGACAACTACGTGCATATGGATGTGGTTGTTTCCCTCCATTCATTTTTTTGCTGACAATTTTCTGTAAATTAGGTTGCAAGTTGATATATTTGCTGAATGTTTCTGCAGATTATTTCCATAGCATGTATGTTTCTAGCGGGTAAGGTGGAAGAAACTCCCCATCTTCTAAGAGATGTCATTGTTGTGGCATATAAGATTATACATGCAAAGAATGCCGAAGAAGCCCAAAGGGTCAAACAAAAGGTGTCCTGTTTTGCTTTTTAATCTTCTTGTCTTGATAGTTAATACCGTGTTCCAACTTTGATCCTTTTTGTCAATTACCTAGTGACAAAAAGTTGTGATGTCTAAGTGTGGTAGTGTGTATGTGTGTGATTGTATTAAAAAAATGATAATTTATGATGCAAAAAAAAATGATAATTTTAAACATTTGAAATGTGGTCCTTTACTATGCAGGAGGTGTATCAGCAAAAAAAGGAACTTATTTTACAGGCAGAAGGAGTAGTTCTGGTAACGCTTGATTTTGACCTCATTGTACGTCATCCATACAAGCTCCTTGTTCAGGCCATTAAGAAAATTAAGGTCGCACAAGATGCACTTGCTCAAGTTGCATGGAACTTTGTCAATGATGGGTATGACATGCTTTTCTTTTTTGGACTGTGCAGTTGCTTGACCACCATGGTCACTATTGTATCTTTTTTTCACCATGCAGGCTCAGGACATCTATATGCTTGCAATTCCAGTCCCACCAAATTGCAGCTGGTGCTGTTTTCCTAGCAGCTAAACGTCTCAAACTAAAGATTCCATCTGGTGGGGAGAATCCATGGTGGCAGGAGTTTGGTGTCACCATACACCAATTGGAGGGTGATTGAATGCATGCATTTGATTGTAGAGATTGGTTACACATCATGGACTAGAATGAATGAATGAGCAAATGTTTCAAAATGTTATGAGATTATGGCATGCAACTAATTTATATTAATTTGCCTTATTTATGTTATATATATAGCATTTGAGAGGTAAAAGTTAAAACCAATCTGGGTTGTTCGGTTGCGCAGTCATGTTGCATTTTTGTACGTTATTAATATTTTTTTAAATATATGTGTTGTTTTCCTCCCTTTTAACTGGAGGTAGTGGGTGTTCCATGCTTTGCAGATTACTGCAAACAGATGCTAGAGTTGTATGAGAGGCGTGAAGCACAACCATTGAAGCAGCAGACTGCTAGTGGATCTGAAGGAGGGGGGTAGTGCGCTGACGGCTCTAGCTGCTGCTGCTAGTGAAGAACGAGCCACCAGTTACATTTGTTCCTCCTCCCGTGGTGGTGACAGTGAGACTAACACCAATGCGAGCAGCTGCCGGAAAAGAAAACAAGAAAGCTGGCAGCCCAAAATGTCAAGACCACCACCACCACGATCTGATAAAGACAATGCCCTTCAAAAAGAGGCTGCCACTGCTGTCACACATTGTAGTCAAGCTATAATGCATCATGGAAATGATGATCTTGAAGAAGGGGAAGTTGAACCATCTCACCCGGAAGGCCTCTCATTACCTCATACTATTCCTTCCACTAGAATGGAATTGAATTTGGGTTAATGAGGGAGGCTTGCGAGAAGAAAAAAATCAAACATATGCTGCAAAGATCAACCATCTTATTCCCTTTGAGTCATATATCTGGAGCACAGCACACCATATTTGAGGTTTTGAAGTTCTGATCCTCATTCATAACTAGCGTTTACAAATGCAACACATGTGGTTTCACTGTTGTTTTCATTTTTTTGTACCCTCCTCTCTTAATTATGGTGTCTTACTGCCTTCTCCTCACTATATTACTCCTATTGAAAGTGAAGGAGTGGCGGCCAACTTTGTCACTTTGATATTCCTTCCACATTTGTACATGCAAAAAAAGAATCACATTTGTGAGGTTACCGTGTCTAACATTTGATATTCCTTTCACTTTTAGTCCTCATTACTCTAGGCCCCTCCCTAGCCCGCCTCCCCCAGACCCCCTGGAGTAAAAAAAAAAAAAAGAAAAAAAAGAAAAGCTTGGAGGTATCCTTTTCAACCGGGCCGTCTAATGAATTTGGAGGACTTAGTTCCAAATGTAAAATTGAGTCCCTCTTTAATTTTAATTAGTATTATTATTATTGTAAGGAAAAATTGAAATTAATAATCCCAACTATTGACGGTCCGCTGATAATAATCCCAACTATTGATTATTTTTGTATAATCCCAAATATATGGACAGTCCGCCAATAATGATCCATGAGCAAATATTACACCCTCAAAAAGTGAATTTTAAATAGAAATCAAGTTTAAAAATTAAAAGTTGGGATTACTTATAGGGATTACTTGTTATATCTCTCCTCATCCACTTTAGAAACTACAAGAATTTATTTAAAGGGACCATTATTGGCGGAAGGTCCCTAAAGTTGGGATTATTCTGAAATAATCGATAGTTGGGATTATTATAAGCAGACCGACCATAGTTGGGATTATTACTATCAATTTTTCCTTATTGTAATACTACATAATATAACTATCATATTATAAGAAGTGATTTGGTCAGGCGCGATGGACTCGGGCCGGGCCAACCGGCCCGGAACCGGACCGGCCCGCTACTGTGCGGGCCCGGACCGGCCCGGTGAACCGGTTCGTGCCCAGTTCGGGCCACCCGGCCCGGTGGGATAGCGGTCCGGGCCTCAACGGTCATATTTTAATTTTTTTTAAATGGTTAAAGGCTCTCTAGCCGTTGGGAGAGCTCCCAAACGGCTCTATAGCCGTTGGGAGCATAGGAGGGGGGGTCTGGGGGGGTTAGGGGGTGGGGTATACAAAAAAAACCTATTTATACTCCTATTTTCTATACATTTTTTACACCTCTTCTTCTACAACTCTTCCTACTCTCTAATTCTCTATTCTCTCAATCTCATATATTCAATCATCTTCATTCTTCATCTTCTCCAAATTCTTTCTACATATATATAATTTATATAATTATTATATCTACTATTCTACTTATATATTAATTATCTACTTATAAATATATACTTATACACATTCATATTATAATTCTTTACACATTATATATACTATATATAGTTATACACATTCATATTTACTTGATATTTAGTTACTATCCATACTATTGTTATTTACTTATATTTACATATTACATTTAGTTAATATATATATATATATATATATATATATTAAAGTATTAAGTATAAGTGTATTACTCATCTTATATATATATATATATATATATATATATATAGAATAGAGATCAAATACAAAGTCTTCTTAATTTACAAAGTACAAACTCATCTTGACCGTCCGATGAGTTGATCCAAAGGACATAAAGGCAAGGTGACATTTTTGTAATAAAACCCAAGTTTATATATATATATATCAAAGTATTAAGTATAAGTGTATTACTCATCTTATAGTAATATACTTATATATTATACACTATAAACATTATATTATATATTACTTATAATATATTTACACATTATATATACTATATATACTTATACACATTCATATTTATTTGATATTTAGTTTTTATCCATACTATTGTTATTTACTTATATTTACATATTACATTTAGTTAATATATACTTTCTTTATATATATATATATATATATATATATATATATATATATATATATATATATATATATATATATATATATATATATATATATATATTAAAGTATTAAGTATAAGTGTATTACTCATCTTATAGTAATATACTTATATATTATATACTATAAACATTATATTATATATCACTTATAATACATTTACAAGTTATATAAACTATATAGACTTATACACATTCATACATTTAATAAAAGTAGTTAATTGTTAGACTTCTCATTTATCTATTAAATTAGTTCATTGTTACATTTCTCTACATTTCTTTTTAAAGAAAAAAAATTCTCAAAAAAAATTTATTCAATAATCAATTCAATAAAATTAATTTGTAAACTTGTACTTCATATTTCAAATAAATATGCGTTTATTTTTTCATATGTAGCACTTCTCAAATTAATTAATTGGTTACAAACTTATAACTTACAACTTCAAATTATTTTTGTAAAATCTAAAGGCTGTTTTTAAATTAAAATATGTAATATTAATATGTAAATTAATTAATTGGTTACAAACTTACAAGTTACAACTTCAATATGTAATTTGTTTAAATACTTATACACCTATTTTGTAACATTTGTAAATTATAGTTTTACTTAATTCATTAAGTAAATAATTCAAATCACTTTTCTAAGTAAAAATAGTTTTACTTAATTCATTAAATTAATTAACTTATTTTACAATATGTATAATTTTCAAAAAAAAAAATAAAAAACATTTTGAAATACAAAATTGCTCCCAAACGGCTATATAGCCGTTGGGGCTTAGGGTGGGGGGGCAGGGGGGGTCCCGGGGGTGGTGGTGTGGGGGTGGGGTTCAAAAAAATCTATAAATACATCTATTTTTTACCATTTTTCTACACCTCTTATCCAACTCTTCTCCATCTTCATCTTCTCTTATTATCCTACATTTCTACTTATACATCTACCATTTTAAAGATGGAAAGTAATTCTTCTGTTATGCAAAACAATTTTGATAAGTGGAAGGACCCGAAGACTGGACTGTGGTGAGCAACTTGCAAGTGGTGCAAGATAGAGTGTTGCTTGGGGCGTTCACACGGAGTCGGGATGCCAATAAAACATATGAAGTCATGTGACAAAGGCAAAACAACAACCAACGGTGGCGGAAATCCCAATTGATATTTATTAGAAAATGTATTTCATCATATTGTTATTTTTTTCTCAATTCTCAAATGTACTTCCTATTTCAAATAAATGCACTTGAATTTTGTTTTTAATAAGAATTATTATAATAATATAATATATAATTTAAAAAAAATTATAAGGCCCGGCCCGACGGGCGGCCCGGCCCGTGAACCGGGCGGGTGACCCGGGCCGGTTCCGGGCCTCCAATACCTTGAACCGAGGCCCGGCCGGTTCAAGGCCCGAACCGAGTCCATCCCTATGTAGATTATATCTTGAAATGTAGATTATGTCAAGAAAATATCAGCTTAAAATTTTGTTGCAGTGAATGTGCAGTGTTTTCCAATAATTTATTTAATCGACTTCCTGATTGAATTTAAGTTGAAACTTTGTGTACATAATTTAAACTTCATGAAGAACATTCTCACAAATCGACCTGAAAACTCCTCAAACGGGCTTGTCCGTACGGGACAGATAATTTATCACTATATTTAGTGGGCCATGTTCTAGACAACCGGTTGAACCTGTTAAAAACGGCCTTTACTTTCCAGCAAATTTTCCTTCCTTGAACACATTTGTGCCAAGTGAATAACTGTTTAATTACAAAGGGGTTACATCAGCGGGTTTATTAAAATTAGAATACGCGTCGCTTGTAGTGACTGTAGTAAGGGGGAGCCAAGACACTGTGCCGGTACAAAAAATATTTTTGTAAAAAACTTTACACGAGATTTTTTACATTAAAAATGTGGCATTTATTAAATGTGGAGTGGACCGAGGCCTGGGTTGACCCCTTGCTAGCAACACCCATGACTGTAGTCATGGGCGGATGGTAGTTAGGGCAGGGGTGGGCTTCAGCCCAGCCCAAAAAAAATAAAAATAGTTAGTATAGGTATATATTAAATTCTCAGCCCATCCCAGAATAATTTCCCAGCCCAGCCCACTACCCAGCTTCTCAGACTTGCGCTTAAGCCTTAAGAGATTGGAGCTTCGCGTAAGACTAAATAGGCATTAGCGACGAAGAAGAAAGAACGTTGAGGGAGCACCGGAGCAGACTGCAGACGGAGCTTGGATCTGCGACGCGGAAGAAGTGAACGACTCCAGTCTCCAGCCGCGCCGCCGACGTCGTCTGCCGACTCCGGCAGTCCGCCTCTGCGCGGTGACTGCGTGTCTGCCTCCCTCCAGGCTCCAGGATTCCTGGTAAACTCAAAAAACAATTTCTTTTTTAGATTTTTAATTTATTGTTTTAATTGATTTGGTGTTAGATTGTAATTTCACTGATTTGTGAATGTGTCAATGTTTTATACGGTTATACAGGCCAGAGCAGAGGGAGTCTAGCGAACATCAGTCGATAATTGGAGAATGCTTTATTTATTATATAATTCAATCATTAATTGAATTTTTTAGTACATAATAAAATAGTGTTTATTCTGTGATATTCTGTGATTTATGAATGATTGGAAAATGATTTATTTAATATGCAATTGAAGGTTAGAGAATGATTTATTAATTGTGTGGACATGTAGAAACTAAGAATTAAAATTTTCAATTTTGAAATTGAGATTACTTATTAATCTATGTACAACAATTTTTTCTCTTAAAAGTTTTATAAATTTATAGAAGTATTTAGATTCATACCAATATTGAAAATGCTTTTTAGAATGGATAATGAACATATTGTCAAGAAAGGAAAATAAATTTACTATACTCGATAGATTTTAAAATTGAGTACGAAATTGAGCTTGATTTTGACTCGATAAATTTTAACGCTTGATAAATATGCTCGAATGTAGAAGTTTAGACTATACTCGTTAATAGATTCATGTTCGAATTATTCAATAAATACCAAATCTTTATTAATCGTTAATATATTTATAAAATAGCATTATAACATTAAGATTTTAAGAAATTTATTCCTATAATTTATTAAAAAAATTATAACATCACTATGTTCGAACTTGGTTTGAATAACTATTCAAAGTCAAACCTAGCTAGTCCGTGTTCGAGTTTGAATCTTGTTAACTCGGGTCATTAAATTAGATTCAAAATCAAGCTCGAAATCGAGTATAAAATTCCAAAAAAGCTTGATTCGATAACAGCTCTGAGCAAAACTTTGTATATATGAAAACTATTTTT